GTTAGGGTTAGGTTTAGGGTTAGGGTTAGGGTTAGGTTTAGGGTTAGGTTACAGCGTGCTTCTGTCGGCGCGGTGTTGTCGGTGCGCTTCAGGGCTCATTCGTCGTTCCTTCATTGCGCGGTTTTGTCACCGCGGTTTTGTCACCGCGGTTTAGTCAGGCGCGCTTTTGTCGTTCGCGCATTTGTGGTGGAACCCATTACAGATACTGGACCACTGGCAGTCCCCAATAACCTTTTGGGGAGTCACAAAGTCAAGGAGATTAATATTTTAAAATTTCTTTGTTTGAATTTCTAATACAGAAACGTCCATGTATATATATATCTGACACAAAACAAAGCTGCTTGGGGGCTTCTGTCATTTTTAACAATATTAAAGGGTCCTGAAGCCAAAATGCTTAAGAGCCTCAATCACAGACTAACACTTACTCCTCCTAGGTCTAGAGGAACCAGGTATCTCCAATCACCTCTGAGGGATGTTGAGAGGACAGGGATCAAAAATCAAGATGCTCTAATAACAAAGTGGAAAATCAGATAATATGAAGGCATTCATTGCTGAAAATCCAAAGGATGCATCATTTATATTGCATGTATATCACTCTGAACAAGGCTGTGAGTGTGTGATAAAGTGGTTGCAGTCAGATCCTTCACTTCAGTATCTGGGGAAATTAGCCTACAGAGAAGGAGTTTAGTCAAAGTCAGAAGATGTCATGCTGTAATACAAAGCAAGATCAAAGTTGCCTCCCACTGGTGGTCCAGAGGGGCTAAAGCAGAAGGCAGCAGCATCCTGAATTACAATCAGTACCACCCTCAGTGGGATTGCTTGTTGTCAAGGCAAGTAGATATGTAGGCAGTGAGATACCTGCCTGAACTAGAGGCTTATATGCCCTTGAAACACAAGCAGGCACAAGTGGAAAAGGGAGCTGGCAAGACAGTATTGCAATTACCACTTTTTTTTAAGAAGAGGCCATTATATTTCTGAATTATAATTTTCAACTGCAGTACCACCATTCTTGTAAACTGGGGCTTAATGCTTTGAAGTCCTCTTCTAAAGATACTAGCCCGGTGAGAACATGCTGAAAATCTGGTTTTCTTAAAAGAAATGCACATTTTCTATAGTTTTACCCACACCAAGAAGCCTTTGGCAAATGTGTAAAGTGAAACAGACCTTCCTTTCTCTGAATGTCTTTCAGGAAGCAATGGCGTTCCATCTTTTCTGCATTTGTTGAACTCCCAGATTTTTGCTCATCTGGGCAAAGCTGACCAGGATATATGGGGAATTCTTGCCAAGACACATTTGGAGGGCGAAAAGTTGCTTTAAGACAAAAGATGTCTAACCTTGGCAACTCTAAGATCTGTGGACTTTAACTCCAAGAATTCCCCAATCAGCCATTCTGGGAGTTGAAGTCCACAGGTCTTAAGAGTTGCCAAGGTTGGATACTTCCATTTTAAAACATGTCCTATAACGATGAGTTTCTCACCAGTTTTAAGAAGCTTTCAATGAAATCTAAAATCATTCTTCAACTTACTGATGGGATTGTTTTTTAGGGGGGAAACCTCATGTGCCTCTGTAGCCAATGCAAGGTCCTACCATAGAAGATTTAAATAAGAATTATTGATATCATATATACAAATCAATTTGACCATTCCTGATTACATACTGTGACAATTCCCATACTGACTACTTCAATGGCTATTATACTTATTAAACCAGGAAGTTTAGCTGTTATAGCACTTTTATCTCATTACTTCAAATGACGCCAGGCAATTTTTTTTTTTCTTGATGATTATTGTTACCATATTTACGGCAGTCCTCAAAGTGACTTGCCTTGCTTTGTCTTCTTCCTCTCTTTATTCTCCATGCTGGTTATTCTAGAGGTGGTATTCTGCTGGTTCATACAGGTTTTGGGCAAACCAGTAGTGGCAGCGGTGGGAGGCTCCGCCCACCCGCCCAGACATCATCACAGATGCTCTGTGCATGCCCACGCACGGGCTCCCGGTTCCGAATCAGTAGCAAAGGTAAGAGGATTTCATGCCTGGGTTATTCCCCATATTATTCCACATAACAGCCAGCTTTTTCCTAGACTTCTACTAGCAATCTTCAGAAAATATGCATTTTGAGCCCTTTGAGTCTGGGGCAAGGCCTGCTCACCCGTCCCATCTGGTTTATTCATTCTGCAATGAATTTCAGGAACTTAAAAAAAAGGAAACTCAGCTGCAACATAATTTAATCTCATTATTCTAATTAACTAAAAGATTAATTAAAAAAAACCTTTTTGGCCTTCCTCACTACTGTCAGTACTTCATTTTGGTAACAGTGGCATAATACATTTCTATTTCTCATTAACCAGAGTTTTAAATAGTGCCAGGCTTTTCAAATTCCTATTTTAAAACGTGACATTTTTTAAAATCAGTACAGTGTGTGTATATATACACTCCGCATTCATATTATTTTGAGAAATACTATAATTCTGAATTATTTATTATGAATAAGAATTAGCTATAAAATGCCATTGGGCCTACTAATATAAGAAGAAATTTATTGTTCAATTAGCATTCGCTATTTTTTGTATGTATGTATATCAGTAAAAAAAATTAACATCTGAGATGGATGAATGGAGAGAGAGAGGGGGGGAGAGAGAGGGAGAATTAAATTCTAACAGCGCATAATAAATATGAATATTTACATATAAGTTCAGAACCTTAGCTTGTTCACCCAAATATATACATACCTGAGAAAAGAAAAGAAAAGAAAATGGGTCCAGATGGCAATTTTGAGAAAGAACAGATTCATTTTGATACTTGAAATCTAGACCATTTTTTACAAGTGATTTATAGCACATGTTTAGGCATCACCGAGACAATATGAAGCAGCTCAATGACAGTTGGATGCTTCTAAAAGACACTTTGAATCACTTGTGGGGAAAGGACTTTAGCCCACTGCACAGAAGTTGGTTTGCTAAACCATTAATGGTGAAAGTGTAAGAACTATGGAAAGAAGGATCATCAGTATCCAGATAATATCCAGCACTATTGCTCCTTGCCAGCTTAATTCCAACAAAGGAGATGATTCCAGTGAACACTGATCAAGTTTGATAAAGAGCTTCATAAATCAAATTTAAATCCAGGCAAAATATTGATACAAAGACTGAGCAGGAAGTGGGATCAGGAGCATCCAGGATGGGCTACTTTTTACCCCTAAGCAGCAGATTGTCACCCAAACGTGACTTTCTCAATCTTTTTTTCTTCCAAACCATTCACTCTACCTTAGTGAGTGGAAAAATATTATATTGTTCTGTGTCTACATGCAAAACCAATCCACTTTTTAAAATAAGAGCAATGAGAATCACATTCATGTATCATACCAATGATCCTGGAAGGGAAAGGATAGATAACAGTAGTAACAGTAACAAAGTTGGAAGTTGGACTTTGGAGGTCAGCTAGTCCAACCCTCTGCAGGAAACTTAAACTATTTCTGATAAGGGCTATCCAGTCTCTTAAAAGTCTCTAGTAATGGGGCACCCATAACTTTGGAAGGCAATTTGTTCCACTAGTCAATTGTTCTCACTGTTAGGAATTTTATCCTTCATTCTAGGTTGCTTCTCTCCTGGAAAAGTTTCCATCCATTGTTTCTTGTCCTGCCTACAGGTTCTTCGGTAAATAAGATGGCCCTCTTTTCCTTGTGGCAGCCCATCACATATTGGAAGATTGCTATCATGTCACCCCTGGTCCTTCTTTTCATCAGACTAGGTATACCCAGTTCCTGCAATTATTTTTCATATGTTTTAGATTCTAGGCCCCTACTCATTTTTCTTATTGTTCTCTGAACTCTTTCCAAAGCCTCAAGATCTTTTTTGTATTTGGGGTGACCAAAACTGGATATGGTATTCTAAGTGTGGTCTTACCAAGGCTTTGTATAGCAGTACTAGTACTTCATGTGATCTTGATTCTATCTGTTGCATTGTGTTAATGCAACCTAGGATTACATTGGCTTTTTTGTCAGCTGTTGGCTCATGTTTGAATGGTTACCTACTAGGACTTAAAGGTCCCTTTCACAGTTATTAGGGTTGAGGCAGGTTACACCTACTGTATTTTTTGGAGTATAAGATGTTCTGAAGTATAAGATGCACTTAGCTTTTGGGAAGGAAAACAAGGGGGGGGGAATCGGCCTCTGCCTCCCAGCAATTTGCCTCCTTGCAGCAAACAGNAATGAGGAAACCAGATTCGCTTAACAACCATGTTACTAACTTAGCAACTGCAGTGAATCACTTAATAAATGTGGTGCGGAAAGTCATAAAATAAAGCAAAACTCACTTAACAAATTTTGCACTTAACAATATACATTTTGGTCTCAATTGTGGTTTTAAGTTGAGGACTACTTGTATTTCTTTCTGACTCAGTATCTGTATCAACACTATTTCTTTTACCCATGACAGATCTATATTTTGCTTGGTGTATTTCACAGAAAACACCAAGCCAAATGGCACAATTCATAAACAATGGCTAGATTCATACTACATACCTTACACAAAGCCAAAACCAATCAAATCACATGTTAGCCTGAAGTGTTCAAAAAAATGAGATTCGGAGCCATGTGTATTTGAAAATTACTATGGACAACATCCACTGTAGTTTCACCTAGTGCAGTTCCACTCAATTCCTATATCCAGATCAGATCAAGACCATGCACTATTCACATCAGCTAGCAAAAGAAGTATCTTGAAAATTTCTTCTTAAGTAATTCACCTCTCTTAGTTTTTGCTAGATTTGTATTTTTAAGATATCTTCAAATGGTATAAAACAGGGCGTTTTTCTGAGGTAATGGTATTTGGGGATGATCTTGGGAGTAAAGAGAAAATATCGTAAGGACTTGAAAGATAGTTTGCCTATACAAAATTATGATAAACCTAGTTTACAGGACAGTGAAAATGAGAGATGAAGAGAACTTTCAGTCTTGCAAGGTTGTATTAATGTAACCTTGCAATGAAGATACAGCTAGTACTCCTGGATATATTTCTTGTCTCATTGAAATCTTGCAAGGCTGACATTTAAATATAAAAATTTTAAAAAGACACAATAAAAAATATCTTGATTGTAGTTCATAAATGTTTATATTATAATGGTGCACCTCATGATCTTTTAAGCCCTCTTGTCTCTGGTTTTGCTACAGAAAAGTATAAATTGCAGCATACCTTAAGTTTTCTTAATTTCAAGTGAAGATGTCCATATGTTGGAGGAGCAGATGTGTCTACCACAGGCTTGGCTCTTAGGATCTGCAGCAGGTTAAAAAATGTGTTTAATTTTGTGTTTAATTTTTGTTTTTAATTTTCACTTGGAATGAATGAATCAATAAGGCTCTTACTTTCAATTTGATGTTTAGCTTTGGAAACTCCCAAATTTGTTTAATACCTGAAGTAGAACCCATTGGCTCTTAGTAAGCAACAATTATTTCTTCACTTTTTTTCTCTCTATTGCAATTAGAATTCTAATGGTGTGGCAGGATTACAGATATTCCTCACTTACCATATTTTTCGAGGTATAAGATGTTCCAAAGTATAAGATGCACCTAACTTTTTGGGAGGAAAACAAGGGGAAAAAACTGCCTCTGCCTCCTAGCAATTTGCCTCCTTGCAGCAAACAGCAAATAGTACAGAAGATATACACTGTTTGTGGTGTTACATTTCAGACTATACTTGTACAGATGCTGTTAAAATTGATGTGGCTTTCTGGAAGTATACATTATTCTCTGCTATTTAAAAGTAGATACAATAGCATTGGGCCTCTTCAGATCAATTACTGGTATTTATTTTATCAATTACCGGTATTTCTTGTGACGGGCATGCTTTGTTGTCCTATTGATTGTGCTTTTTGGACGCAGACAGGAAGTCATGAGAAAGTCCTCAGTTAACAGCATCTGTAGAAGTATAGTCTGAAATATAACACCACAAACAGTGTATATCTTCTGTACTGTTTGCTGTTTGCTGCAAG